CTAATGTGTCCAACACATGATTTTCCTGTCTAGTTATTACAAGCTTTTTCCGGTTATTTTGTATAACCCCTGTAAATATTCATTGACAACGAAAATACTAAAAAATTTAAATTTTATATTTTTCTTCAAATTCTTCCAATACGGTTCATTTTAGAGAAATTATATAAAGAATAAAAATTATTATCACAAATAACTTTATTATTTGAGCAATTTTCTTACAAATTGGAATTTTTCACTTTTTGTCAAATTTCTCGAATATGGTACATTTAAGAAAAATTATGTATAAAACAAAAATTATAGAGAATAACATTACATGCAACTTTTATTTGAAGAATTTTCTTCTCTAAGCATAAATAACAGATATATTTCATAAAGTAGAAAAACCCCCCCCCCCCCCCCCCCAGGATGGATTACAGACTAAATTTAAAATTTTTTGTTTTTCTGTTTCCTTTTTTGTTTTTTTTTCAAAATTCAAAATTTACACGTTTTCTCAAATAAATCGAATACGGTCCATCTTAGAGAAATTATGTGTGGAATAAAAATTATAGAGAATGATATTTTAAACAACTTTTTTTAAAAAAATTAAATTTAATTAGTTATTTGAATTTATAATTCAACTTTTTATTAGAACATAAAAATTTGCACATCTTTTAGTTTTTATTCCGACTTTTAATAAATTAAAAAATACAAAATATATCTACCACTTTAAATTCCTTTAAGCAATTTTCGCACTTATAAATATGTTAATAAATTATATTCTTTTGTACATCAAGCATATGGTGACATAATGTTAGTTTACCTTAATTATCTCGCTTATGACTTATGATACAAAAAAAAAAAACTCAAAAATTTATTCATTTATCTATTTACAATATAATTCACCACTACATATATGCGCTTCGTCGAACTTTCTTTGCCTCAATCCTCTGGCCTAGGCTTGAGAAATGTGGGCGTCGTCTCGTACCCGTCATCACTAATGCAAGTGATTTAAAACGTTATCTGAATATTAAGTGCCATCTTCTTATCCATAGATATTATATGGCAATTTTGATTTTTGAGGGAACGTCGGTAATGGAACTTATCTCTTGTAATTATGTCTTTTGTTAGTTTTGTTCGTAATCCCTGAAAAAGCGTTGAAAAAACAGGGTTGTCCTTGTGTTTGTCGATTTGTCCGTATAGATTTTGACTGAGTTATGCAAATTCATGAATCACACCGTTTTACCGCAAATCAAGGCAGCGAGAGTATCGCCGTTTCGATTTTCGATTTCACCGTGCAGTCCACCGTCCGACCAGATTTTTCGTCTAGTCGGTTTGAATTTGCACATTCAGTTATTTGTTCACAGGAGTCCAGTCTGTGTTTGTCTGTCTTGTTTTTGTATTTTTAGTTGCGTCTGTATAGTGTCAGTGCTTTGTGGAGACATCCATGCTTTCTATGAAGACTATTTGCCTCCCTTATGTTTAAAATATCTTCCTTTACGTCGTTCGGAAGGCTGTTTATATAGAATTTTTCTGATATTTTACGTATGTGATCCTTTATAGTAGGCATGGATGTCTCTGTGTGCATGTTGGTTACTCTGGAGAAACGGGGCCAACCCAGTGCCAGCCTCAGATAACTGTTTTGTACGACCTGTAGCTTGTTGAAATGACTTTCTGTCATTGAACAGAAAGCCTGACATCCATATGTTAAGATTGGCCGTATTACTTGTTTATACAAGAGTAATTTGTTTTCTCGGCTGACTCTACTATTACTATTGAAGAGAGGATATAGCGCTCTTCCGGCTGCTTTAGCTTTCGTGACTCTATTTTCGATATGTGTTTTGAACGTCAATTCCCTATCTAGATACACCCCTAGATATTTAATTGATTGTTTAGCCTCAATAGTTTGTTCACCTATTTTTAATTTGTTTAGGATTCTTTTTGAGTTGCCTTTTCTTTTTATCGTGAGAATTACGCTTTCTGTTTTGGCTGCATTTAGTTTCATTTTATTTGCATCTAGGTAGGGAATTAACGTTCTGTTGATGTGAATGTCAAGCCTCCTGTTCGCGATTTCAGCCAGCTCCGAGGTCTTGTACACGCAGGTATCATCGGTGTACAGTGCCGTCTGTACACCATTAGTACCCATGGGCATGTCATGGGTCATAATAGTGTACAGATGCGGCGAAAGTACCGAACCCTGGGATACCCCCGCCTCTGCATTGAATGGTCCTGTTAAGGTTTTATTTAGTTTTATGTAAAAAGTTCTGTCTAGTAAGTAAGATTGAATCGTTCTTACAATGTAAATAGGAAAATAATTTATAAACATTTTATAAATAAGCCCACGGGTCCATACTGTATCGAACGCCTTTTCGGTGTCTAGTGCTACTAATACAGTGAGTTTTCTATTATTGTAAGCTTCCATAGCTTGATGAGCTATTTTTATTACTTGTGCTACTGTACCATGGCCTTGTCGAAACCCGTACTGTTCCCGTGGGATTATTTGTTTGTCTAGTTCAATTGTTCGTAGTCTATTAAGAATGATCATGTCTATTGTTTTGGTAAGTGTGTTAAGAAGGGAGATCGGACGATAGCTCCCTATGTGCTTAGCGTTTTAACCCGGTTTTTTAATCGCGATGATGTTAGCTATTTTTAGTTTTTTGGGATAATGTTGGGTTTTAAAAATGGCATTAATGATATAGTGTAACTGGACTATGGCTTTTCTCGTAAATTTTTTAAGCATAAGGGCTGTGATTTCATCTGGTCCGGGTATAAATATGTTAATAAATTATATTCTTTTGTACATCAAGCATATGGTGACATAATGTCAGTTTACCTTAATTATCTCGCTTATGACTTATGATACAAATATGATTTGAAAACTTTTAGAATCCTTAAGCTTTTGCCTAATAATAATCAAGAATAAATTTTTACGAATTTTTGCAGTTTTCGTCATATTGTCGTATATAGTTTAAAAAACGGTAAAACACAGTTTTTTGCTAACCGTCGCTTCGCTTCTATTACCGTATTTATAAACGCATATCCGAATTTAGAAACAACTTTTTCAATGTATTCTCAGTTGCTATTAGGTATTTATTTCGATAAAAAGAGATGGATGTTAGAGACGACGCAACCAGCAAATCCCGCATTTAAATTGGTATGCGGGGCTCTTAAGACCAGATATAACGTAATGTTTCTAGTTTGGCAGAGGAGCATTCTGAAATCCACCAGAATTTTAAATTTGTATATAAATATTGGTGGAGAAACAAAGCAGCAGTCAGTATATATTAGACAGTGAAGATAAATAGTGAACAATTTAAAGACATTCGAAATATATAAATTAGAATAGTATTGTTTCAAAATAAATAAGTGTTTAAATAAATTATTAATAAATAAACTGTTGTTTAAAATAAACAAACATTACAATATTAAGAAATGAATCGAGAGTATTTAAAGGGTGTAAATTGAGTTTTATTAATAAAGCTCTGTAAAAATTAGTCTAAGCGCTTTCAGCCTATTAGGCCATCATCAGAGACTCTACAAAAGAGAGAAAAAAAACGGAGCTGTAACAATATAATCAACTCGTAACATTACTAAACAATGAATAAAAAAACTTGAACACTTACTCGTCAAAAACTATAGAAGAAGCATGAAAATTAAACTAAATTAAAAAGGACAGCATAAAACCGGTCCCCAGTCTTTGTTGTCTTTGTTGCTGTCCTTTTTAATTTAGTTCAATTTTCATGCTCCTTCTATAGTTTTTGACGAGTAAGTGTTCAAGTATTTTTATTCATTGTTTAGTAATGTTGCGAGTTGATTATATTGTTACAGCTCCGTTTTTTTCTCTCATTTGGAGAGTCTCTGATGATGGACTAATAGGCTGAAAGCGCTTAGACTAATTTTTATAGAGTTTAATTAATAAAACTCAATTTACACACTTTAAATACTCTCGATTCATTTCTTATTACCCAGTGTGTACAACACCACTCAACCTCTTCGTTACAATATTATTTTATATTAGATTCAATTGAAATTTACAGGGTGTTCCATAACGATATAAGAATATTTAAGGGTGTAAATCTACATAAAATAAAAATGACAGTTTAATTGATAAACTGTAATCCAAAAATGGTATTTTAAAAAAATACAAGTTGCAGAAGTCGTAAAAAAAATGGAAATTAATTAATGTGAATATGGATGTACACTTATCTCGCGGTTAGCCTCTCCGGCACTAGTTACGTCGTAGAGAAGCGAGCAATTCAAATTTGTAACAGGTGTGAATTATGGATTCACTAATATATTACTAGCTATGTAAAAAACTTTATAATTAATAAATTTCCAGAAAAGCCCCCAACAAATCCTAATTACAAACCGTAATGGTAATACGAAATAATGATAAAATCAAATTTAATGAAAAATTCTGCCCGCGGGGGATTCGAACTGCTTTTGTTCTTCCAAAAGCTATCTCTGATATAGTTAATAATTTTCAAATTGTCGAGAAGAACATAAGATTTCGAATTCAATCTCGCGTTTCAGAAAATTTTTAATTTTTCAACAAATTGCTGTACATCATCATCGTCTGAGGAAACATGCAAACGCATGCAGACATTTCCCCAGGTCGTCTAATATGTACTGAGTTTCCAATATACGTAAAAAACGCAAACAAATATAGTGAAAGAATTGAATTTCCGAAAACTAATAAATCCCAATATTACCCCTACGAAATAAATGTAAAACTTTTTAATTTGCTGTTTTTATTTGATATTTCGTTTGTATTGAGTGGCTTTGCATATTACGAGTATTTTCTTGTGTATGAACCAGTTAACTTTATTTTTTAAGAATGTACAGGTTATCAATAAATAAATTGATTAAATATTTTAATAAAACCCCTAATTACGACCCTGTTTATTGACACAGTTACATTCTGCCTGCATGTGTTTACTTTTGTTTTATTTAATGTATAGAAGAAGAACCTGGATATTGGTCGGTGTAGTTTTTGTTCATGAGTATGCAGGATTCTTTCTTACCTGGAATTACTTCTTTTGCTGCTGTCCTTCTTCCCCGCCTGCAGGTTTGGAAGGTCCTTTTGTCTTTTCTCCGTCTCTCTCCATATCCGCCAATAAAGAAAGCACATCACGGTGACAGGACAGTAGAAGGCCGCGATGGCCGTCCCGAAAGTGATGTAATGGTTCGTTTCGATGAACTGTATGTAACATTCGTCTTTGGGAACTGTACGTTGACCTTCGATGTACGGCCAGCTGTAGATCCAAGGCGGCCACAGCAGGAGGCTAATACCCCACGCGCATCTGCAATAATAAAGTTGATATTTACTTTATGTTAAATTAACGTAAATTTTATGCCGAATGCAGTTTTATACAAATGACCATTTGTATTTTAGTTATGCCCATAAAAATGTTAGGTTAGTTGTATTTCAATTGTTTAAATACGACCATCCACTCGTATTTAAACACAATTTCTATAACAAAAGCCGGCCCTGTTAAGTATTAAATGATCGATAAAATAATTAACCAGACTTAAGGTAGATTTATACTATAGGTCTGGTCACGGTCCGGTCGCGGTCAGGTTTTTTTATGAACTATTCACACTGTTGCGGTCGCTCATCAGTCTTTTGTCAGTTAATTTAAAACAAGCAATGTTTTCAAAGTTTTCAACAAGAGACCTGGTCATAATGGCTTACATCCTAGATGAGGAAGAGAGAAGCGAAAGCTCCAAAAAAACATCAACAGAAAAAGTTCAAAATATTCGCAGAAAGAAAGAGCGCGGTCAATTGACTAGATCGTTACCTGATCGTGCAGAGTAATATGAATACTTTAATACAAATTGCATATTCTAATATTTGACTGGACCGCGACCGGACCGTGATCTGACCGTGACTGGACCTATAGTATGAATCTACCTTAAAAGTTGCGTCTTTAAATTCAACAGAGACAACATAGCATACAAACTAACCGTATTCAACAACCGATTAGGCGCAACGTGACAAACACAGACACAATCAGAAATAGTACTTTTATCTCATATTTTACACATTCAAATGCATTGGAGGTAAAAAATAATTTTAATAGATTTCACCATAATAAATCAACGCAACTTACGTTACTTCTAACCAGTAGAATTTAAAATTGAGTCCCTCAACGCCTGGCGAAGGGGTATAAAAACGTACAACTGGTCAAAAGCATTAGTACTTTTTGCCTTACGGCCGGGCGTGGGCAATGTATTTAACATAGGCATACACAACGTCCTTTCAGTGACGTTTTAGCTGAAACTACAGCAAGGATAAAACTACAAAAATAACCGCCGTTAATAGATGTATACTACTGTTTAGTAAAGGTTTTTTGTGTCTCTAACTGTAAGGTATCGTTGAAAAATAATTCCCAAAATATGGTAATTTTTACGATAAAATAAAGATAATATTATACCAGTAATATTTTTTACTCGATGATGCAAATAATTCATCTATGAATAGGTTATATATTAAAGCAAAAAATGCCAATCAAAAGATCTAAATCAATTAAGTCAATTTCCTTAAAGGCTCATTGAAGTAAATTTTGGAAGAAATTTATGTGTAACAACATTGTATTTACATCAACTAGTAGAACAATGCCAATGCAAATTATCTTGGAGGACAATGGACAGTATCAATAGATGACAGCAAGCTCCGTGGTGTTCAAGTCATGTCTTTGATAATTTTGTCGTCTTTTACCGAGACATCGAACGGTTGTCGAAACTGAATAACGAACGTAATTTCTCGATTTACTATTAGATGGACCGATAGTCGATTCAGAATATTTGTTTTAAAAGTGAGATGAACGAGTTTAATTATGCTTGATGAATATTTATTTACGATTTATCATCATCATTTTATAGAATATATACAATATTAATTTAAATTTGGCAGTCTACCCAAATGAATTAAAAAAATAAGAAAACTTTATTACGTAAGAAATATTTACAAACTTGTTATTTAAATTTCTTTTTGTTTTCGGTTTTTAAATGATCATTGGCCCTTCAATGTCGATCGATGAAATATTTGAGCCTCGGCCATCAATATCAAAAATTGATTCAATGCCATTGACATCAAACAAGAAAACACCCCAAAATCTTTAAGGGTCCAAACGTGTGTAAGTTTAATTTAAGCTCGAACGTTAAATTCATTTATCAAACTGCCCTGATGATGAATAAGAATTTGATAACTACAAGTGCTGTACAAATCAATAAAAACAATTATCGGATGAAGAAATGGTCCTTAACCTAACCAGTCGACTCAATAAGCGTATAGAAAATTTTATTCACACTCAAATTCGCCTATCAAGTAAGACATCAAATGGATGATGTATCAACTTCAATTTTTTCAAACTTATTTGCCACTCCAAGTCGCAAAACTTTTATAAAGGTTTTGAGCACTTATATATGTCGATTTTGTTACAGAAAACATTTTTGAAAGGTTTGTTTCATCAATATTTAATTATTTAAATGGTGTAAATTCATATTTGTTTGAGTATTTCCATGTTTAAATAGACAAATTATATGATGCGGCGTTAATTTACTGTAATAAAAAAAATTAAAATAAATTGCATTTTATTTCAAGTTTGAAATTAATGCAAAACTATAATGAAGTAAAATCAATTTAAAATATAAATTGGCAAAATATTTGACTAGTTACAAATCACAAAACAGCTAATATGGTTGTTTTATTTGAAACTGGTCAAATATTTTTCCAATTTATTTTTTTTGTTTGATTTTCTTCATTACGTTTTTGCGCAGCTACCACAAAGTTAAATTTTAAAATGCACACTCGTGGCGACCATATTGAATTGTAGTACCACTCCAATTTAATAGATGGCAGCACATCGCCTCAGAATTTTACCATTGAAGTTCCCATTTATTCACTTCATTTATTCAACAAAAAACTTTTCCTCCTTTACTTAAATAATAAAGAAGAGCCTTGGCATAGCTTCAACTTTATTTAGAGATATTGATTTTATGTTTTGAAATCCGAACAATGTCTATATGTACGGAAATGGCAAATATTTAGAAAAACGACTAAACGGACTTTTAGCAAAAATTGATTGCTTGCTAATACTTTAATTTCTCTGTTCTGTTTACTTTCATAGGAATGCCAATTTATGTCTTTGGCATTCCTGAAAAACGTAGGTGTAGGCAACAGATTATACACCACTTTCAATAAATTTTCAGTTTTAATATCTATTTCTTAAAAAAATGTGATCGTAGAAAAAATCCTGTGTGCATTTTAAGCGAAAAGTTTGTTGCCTCTTTCGACAGATTTACAGACTTTCTGTCTTAATTTACAATAGCTATTTGTGTTTTGGTTCTCTACTCCAATTTACAAAAGAAGATGACATTCCTTGGTCGCTAAAAATATCTTTATACAATTCTGGTGTGCGAGTGTGTTCGTAATTCTGTTTCTTTTAAACGGCTTGACCGATTTTGATGATTTTTTTTAATATACATAGATTATTTTTTGATTCGTGGAAAATTGTATATTGTCCAACAAGTGAAAAAAATGGAATAATATTTCCGCACTATTTACGAATGTGCACGACAAAGTCTACTGACTTTTAAAAACCAATACGGTATAACGTGATTTTGTGCAGTGGTCGTCGAAAAAATATTGTTTGCATTTTTTAGCAAAATGGAGTTCTACGACGCATTCGATTGAATTTGAGTTGATACAAATTAATACAAATATAACTATAATCAACCAAAAGGTGTACAGTACAATCTAATATTTATCATTTGATAAAATATACAATAAATTATTTAGTTAGGCGCTGGTAATGTTACACACAATATTACTAAAACATAATTATAAAAAAGTTTGACTTTTAAATTTCAATTTTGTAATTTTTTAATTTTTAGTTTATACTCGTATAATGTAGCTAATGGGGTGACAAGTATTTTCACTTCCATTTGTTTTTTTAGCGCGATTCCGGATCATCTCCTAAAAGCTTTTCATTGGACGTATATAACATGTTCCATCTACGTCAAGATAAAATTCTACACGATATTAAACAAAACGCAATCCCTATAGGAAGAAGCGCATTAGTAGTAAATCTTGTGGGTAACTCGAGATGGACGTTCCAATCGATAGATTTAAAAATAAAATCTAAAAACCACTCGCAACCCTACATTATTACTTTCTACGTACTTTCTTCAATACAGTGTACAGGGAGAGTCACTAAAATCGCACGAATAATTCTTAATATTAAAAGATGAAAAAAAGTTTCTATAAAATATGGTAGCACATCAAAAGTCAAGAAAATAAGAATAAACAATAGATAGAGATAAGAAATACGAAATAACTCTTTAAATTAGTATCTCCGTAAACTAACAAACTACAAAGATAAAGATAACGATTACGCACTTTGAAAATCAACAAATAAATTAAAGATACCTTACATCTAAATTCCTCTGATATGAACAGAAGGAGGATGGGCTAAAGACAACAAACAAAAAACTGTCCTATCAGCCGAACACCTGCAGAAAACCTAATGAATTACATATAGAAAATAACCTAGAGAAAACATCAATAGAAGAGAAAGTATTTTTTTATTAAATTAATTTATCCCATTCGGGCTTTTATTCACCCTGAGGTTTCAAAAAAATTTCATTATAATTGCCGTTATTAAAAAGAAAACAAAAATGCTGAATGGTAGAATTAATAAATTAAAACTACTTTCAAGGGCAATACACTTAAACTAACAAACTACAAAGATAAAGATAACGATTACGCACTTTGAAAATCAACAAAGAAATTAAAGATACCTTACATCTAAATTCCTCTGATATGAACAGAAGGAGGATGGGCTAAAGACAACAAACAAAAACTGTCCTATCAGCCGAACACCTGCAGAAAACCTAATGAATTACATATAGAAAATAACCTAGAGAAAACATCAATAGAAGAGAAAGTATTTTTTTATTAAATTAATTTATCCCATTCGGGCTTTTATTCACCCTGAGGTTTCAAAAAAATTTCATTATAATTGCCGTTATTAAAAAGAAAACAAAAATGCTGAATGGGGTAGAATTAATAAATTAAAACTACTTTCAAGGGCAATACACTTATTTAAAAGTCATACAAAAAATAGGTCACTTTTCGCTAGAGTACAAGTTTTTTTATTTAAGCACTCTCGCCGACACAAAAAAAAGATTAGATTTAGAAAAAAATGCGTTTAAGCTATATCTCGAATTTCGTTAAAAAAGTTACATGGCTGAAATCCGTATACCGGAAGTAGCAAAAGCGGAGCACAGAAAATGCTTG